TTTTTTTTGCGCAGCTACATTTTTAAATATCCCGTAATACAATCTACAATTTGAATAATTTGCTGCCGTTCATACAACATACAGGTTGTTAGTGGGTAAGTGTGGTTGTGTGTCTGAGCGAACTTTATATCGTCGTCAGTTTTTTTTTTCAGTTTCGTTAATTTACCAGTGAAAAGTTAACACATGGTTTCATTATTAAACGTTTGTTTAACTTGCTTGTAGCTGTTGTTTTTTTGTTGTTGTTTCTTTTCGACGGGTCCTTTGTCGTTTGGGTGATGTTGGTGTTGCTGTTGTTGTTCCTTCTTTATATATCGCAAACAACTATTATTGAATGTCGTGTTAAATGTTCTCTTAATTTGTACGAGGATTTCACACCCTGCCATTCACTCAGTCAGTCAGTCAGCCATTGACGACTGACAACACACACACAGGCAGAGCCAGACACACAAAAAATAACAAAAGTGTGTATGTGTGTGTTGAACGTCATTTATATGTTACACTACGGTGCTATGCCACGTTGTTGGTAACTGTGTGTGAATTGTACAACAGCAGTTTGAATCAGTTGTTAATCGACACCAATTATTTTTGCACGATTTCTTGTGTAAACACACATTTTAAAATTGTGTAAGTGAGTATGTGTGTGTGTGTGTGCGCGCCCTGCCATCATGTCAGAGTGTGAGTTGTTTTTTCAAAAGAAATAAAAACAAAAAAACAACCTGGACAATGACATACACAAAAAAAATCTTGAACCAACAAAACAGGGGTTCTCTGGCATCGATCCATGGAAACAAATTTCGTTAAAAAGTCCACGCCTAAAGGTAGGCCTTAGAAAATTATCTTTAAAAAAATCTACGCCTAAAGGTAGGCCTAGGTAGGTAGAAAACATGTTTAAAAAATCCACGCCTAAAGGTAGGCCTTAGAAAATTATCTTTAAAAAATCCACGGCTATAGGTAGGCCTTAGAAAATTATATTTAAAAAATCCACGCCTAAAGGTAGGCCTTAGAAATTTATCTTTAAAAAACCCACGCCTAAAGGTAGGCCTTAGAAAATTATCTTTAAAAAATCCACGCCTAAAGGTAGGCCTTAGAAAATTATCTTTAAAAAATCCACGCCTAAAGGTAGGCCTTAGAAAATATCTTTAAAAAATCCACGCCTAAAGGTAGGTCTTAGAAATTTATCCTTAAAAAATACACGCATAAAGGTAGGCCTTAGAAAATTATCTTTAAAAAATCCACGCCTAAAGGTAGGCCTTAGCAAATTATCTTTAAAAAATCCACGCCTAAAGGTAGGCTTTAGAAAATTATCCTTAAAAAATACACGCCTAAAGGTAGGTCTTAGAAAATTATCTTTAAAAAATCCACGCCTAAAGGTAGGCCTTAGAAAATATCTTTAAAAAATCCTCGCCAAAGGTAGGCCTTAGAAATTTATCTTTAAAAAAACCACGCCTATAGGTAGGCCTTAGAAAATTATCTTTAAAAAATCCACGCCTAAAGGTAGGCCTTAGAAAATTATCTTTAAAAAATCCACGCCTAAAGGTAGGCCTTAGAAAATTATCTTTAAAAAATCCACGCCTAAAGGTAGGCCTTAGAAAATTATCTTTAAAAAATCAACACCTATAAGTAGGCCTCGAAAAATATTTTTAAAAAACCAACGCCTTTAAGTAGGCCACGAAAAATATTTTTAAAAAATCAACGCCTATAAGTAGGCCTCGAAAAATATTTTTAAAAAATTAACGCCTATAAGTAGGCCACGAAAAATATTTTTAAAAAATCAATGCCTATAAGTTGGCCATGAAAAATATTTTTAAAAAATCAACGCCTATAAGTAGGCCTCGAAAAATGTTTTTAAAAAATCAACGCCTATAAGTAGGCCTCGAAAAATATTTTTAAAAAATCAACGCCTACAGGTAGAATAAAATACTTACAACTTTTAGAGAGATATTATTTATTTTATTTTTCACATTTTCCCCCCCACTACTCCTGCCGTCCGCTTGTCCTCCTGGTCCAGCTCTAAATTCTGGTATAATGTTAACATCGTGTTAAACTGACACAATCAGAAATTAAAATAATGTATTTTTTCTTTTTGTATTGCAAGTAAAGAAAATAAAAGGATTCCGCTTGTTATGCCTGTCACATGGGGAGCACCGCCCCTCCCAAAAGGAAAACATTTACAGTCACACATATACGTACGCACACTCACACACATGCGGAATAAATCAAACAATATTGAAATTCAATACATGTGTCAGAGTGTGTGAGTGAGTGTGTCTGTGAGTGTGATAAGAAAGAAGAGAACCGTTAAATGCGTGTAATGTATTTATTTTTCATTGTTGTTGTCGTTGTAGCTGTCCTGACGCCTCGTCATTGTGAAGGATAACAATCGGGACATTGATTGCAACAGAAATGTTAAAGTGCCGAATAAGGCGCTCGAAGAAAAGAATAATAACAACGATTAAAATAATTACATGTGAATGATGTGACTTGTGGCTGGGTCGGGATGGGGAGAGGAGAGGAGGCGGACTCGGCTCGGTAATAAATGCTGTCCTGTCCGATAATGGTTTAAGGATAAAAATGATGATGATCCCGCTACGTTAAATGTTAAGCGACACTTTTTTCTTGTTTAAGCGTATTTCGTTCTTCTTTTTTTTAATTAAAAAAAAAATAAGAAGACAAAAGGAATAATAATAGAGAAGAAGGTCCGAATGTAACACCAAATTTATTTATTTAAACAAATTTTTCCAAGGCCTACCTTGAATTGGAAGGTTGGATTTTTTAAAATTCATTCTTTTCATTGCCTAACTTGTAAACAAAGTGCAGGTCGCATTTATTATCCCAATGACATGAAATTTGGCGCAGATCATTTATTTGGTCCAGGGACAAACCCTATTGAAATTGGAAAAAATCGGTTAAGATTTAGATATAGCTCCCACATATATATGTTCGTTCGATTTTTCGCAAATGGTGCACCAAAGAGTCAAATTTAGGGCGATTGGCATGAAATTTTGCACAAAATTAAAAAACGTGTGCTGTTTGCAAAATAAATTTACTGTGAAAAAAATTAATTTCGGGGGGGGGGGGGGGGGGGGCACCAAAGAGTCAAATTTTGGCCGATTGGCACGAAATTTTTCACAACGCACTGAAGTTAGGTTAGACTAACGTCTGAAATCCAGATTTAAATATAGCTCCCATATATATGTTCGTTCGATTTTCCGCAAATGGTGCACCAAAGAGTCAAATTTAGGCCGATTGGCACGAAATTTTGCACACCGCACTGAAGTTAGGATAGACTAACGTGGGCCAAGTTTTACTTAAATCGATTCAGATTTAGATATAGCTCGCATATATATTTTCGGCCGATTTTTCGTAAATGGTGCACTAAAGATTTAAAGGGTGTTCGATTGGCACAACATTACGCGCAACGTATCGAAATGGGTCTGGGTTAACCGTTATATGAGGGCGACCCCAAAAAAGTGAACCGATATTAATAATTTTTAATGGAAACATTTGGTATGTGGACCGATGAAGCTCATCTTCGGACCTGCAGACAAGAGACAACTCTATGCAAAATTTTGGCGATCTATCTCAATTTGTTTAGACGCTAGAGTGATTACAACAGAAAGACGGACCTGCAGAATTTTTACGGACCTGCAGAATTTTACGCTGATCAAGAATCTATATACTTTGTACAAATATACCCGGTTATTGGTCATTGAGCGAAGTCGGTTCACATATAGACACAGATCACATAATTAACTTAGTCGAATTTCATGTCAATGGTCCTGCAAAAATTCAAGGTCTGTAAGGATGTATTTCTGGAATATTGTCAAAGTGTTAAAAGGGTATCATATAGTCGGCTCCGTCCGACTTTACTACTTTCCTTACTGGTTTAAAATAAATTTTTCATGGCCAACTTATTGGCGTGGATTATTTTAAATTATTTTTTCATTGCCTACTTCAAGGCGTGGATTATTTTTTCATTCCCTACTTTAAGGCGTGGGTTATTTTTTCATTGCCTACTTTATTGCGGGGATTATTTTTTCATTGCCTACTTTAAGGCGTGGATTATTTTAAATTATTTTTCATTGCCTACTTCAAGACGTGGATTATTTTTTCATTGACTACGTGGATTATTTGTGCATTGCCTACTTTAAGGCGTGGATTATTTTTCCATTGACTACTTTGAGGCGTGGAATATTTTAAATTATTTTCTCATTGCCTACTTAAAGGCGTGAATTATTTTTCATTGCCTACTTTAAGGCGTGGATTATTTTGAATTATTTTTCATTGCCTACTTTAAGGCGTGGATTATTTTTCCATTGCCTACTTTAAGGCGCGTATTATTTTTCATTGCCTACTTTAAGGTATGGATTAGTTTTTCATTGCCTACTTTAAGGCGGGGATTATTTTTTATTGCCCACTTTAAGGCGTGGATTATTTTAAATTATTTTTTCATTGCCTACTTTAAGGCGTGTATTATTTTAAATTATTTTTCATTGCCTACTTTAAGGCGTGGATTATTTTAAATGATTTTTTTCATTGCCTACTTTAAGGAGTGAATCATTTTAAATTATTTTTTCTTTGCCTACTTTAAGGCGTGCATTATTTTTTCATTGCCTACTTTAAGGCGTGCATTATTTTTTCATTGCCTACTTTAGGGCGTGCATTATTTTTAATTTTTTTTCATTGTCTACTTTAAGGCGTGTATTATTTTTTCATTGCCTACTTTAAGGCGTGGATTATTTTAAATTATTTTTTCATTGCCTACTTTAAGGCGTGGATTATATTAAATTATTTTTCATTGCCTACTTTAAGGCGTTGATTATTTTTAATTTTTGTTGCATTGCCTACTTGGATTTTTTTTTTCAAAATTAATTTTCGACGTCAACCATTTTGCTAGCCATTTAAAGAAAATCGTTCTGTCCGCGATGTGTAATTTTCCCGTTCAAAGTTTCGTCGTGGGTCTTTGAGAATAAATTTTGAAACATTTTTTTTCCACTCACCTTGTTGTGTTTTCACTTGAACCGGTGTGGACATTGGACCAGCTCCCATTGATGTAAAGGCCTGAACACGTACCGTATAGATGGCATGTGGTGTCAGTTCGGATATTGTGGTCAATTCACTATTATCAAGCACTTGGGATTTCCAAGAGGCTTCGGGTTGATTGGGATCTGTGGTATAGTAGATTTTGTAGCCCTGCAAAAAATATAGAAAAAATTTGCATTAAATTTTATAAAATAGAAAAAAATGAATTTAAAATTTATATATAAATTAGACACTATTTAATTTTTTTATTTGTTTTATTAACAATGTTTGAATATCCCTTTTGCCCCACCCCCCACTGTTGCATATATTAGTTTCCAGTTTTTTTTTCTCAAAAATATTTTCCATTGCATTATTGAATAATTCATAAAATTTACTAAAAATGTTTTTCAAAACTTGTTTCCTACTCTCTCACGATGTATGGAAAAATGTGTACATACAAAAGAGTGTATGTGTGTGTGCGTATTGGTGTGCGTGCATTTGTGCCTGCATTTATGTTCTATTTGTTTATTCAATATTGGCCATGCATTATTTATGAAATTAAATGCTTGCATTTACAATTTTTGTTTTTGAAAAAAAACTCTCTCGAAATGCATTTATTCTCAGTGAAACTGACAATGAATGTTCAAATAATAATACCATAATAATACAAAATCGAATTGAATTGTAGTGGTAATGTACAGTACAGACCGGATTTTGGGTAACAAATGCCTTGAACATTTAATTTTAAAAATATACGCCTAAAGGTATGCCATGAAATATTAATTTTAAAAAATAAGTATGCCTTAAAAATTAATTTAAAAACTTCACGCCTATAAGTATGCCTTAAAAATTAATTTAAAAACTTCACGCCTATAAGTAGGCCATGAAAATTTCATTTTAAACAATCCACGCCTATAAATAGGCCATGAAAATTTCATTTTAAAAAAATCCACGCCTATAAGTAGGCCATGAAAATTTCATTTTAAACAATCCACGCCTATAAGTAGGCCATGAAAATTTCATTTTAAACCATTCACGCCTATAAGTGGGCCATGAAAATGTCATTTTAAACATTCCACGCCTATAGGCAGCCCATGAAAATTTAATTTTAAAAAATCCACGTCTATATGTAGGCCATGAAAATTTCATTTTAAACAATCCGCGCCTATAAGTAGGCCATGAAAAATTAAGTTTAAAAAATCCACGCCTATAAGTAGGCCATGAAAAATTAAGTTTAAAAAATCCACGCCTATAAGTAGGCCATGAAATTTTCATTTTAAACAAAAATTTCATTTTAAACAATCCACGCCTATACGTAGGTCATGAAATTTTATTTTAAACAAACATTTCATTTTAAACAATCCATGCCTATAAGTAGGCCATGAAAAATTAAGTTTAAAAAATCCACGCCTATAAGTAGGCCATGAAAAATTAAGTTTAAAAAATCCACGCCTATAAGTAGGCCATGAAAAATTAAGTTTAAAAAATCCACGCCTATAAGTAGGCCATGAAAATGTCATTTTAAACAGTCCACGCCTATAAGTAGGCCATGAAAATTCCATTCTAAACAAAAATTTCATTTTAAAAAATCCACGCCTATAAGTAGGCAAAAAAAAATTATTTTTAAAAATCCACGCCTATAAGTAGTCCATGAAAATTTCAATTTAAAAAATCAACGCCTATAAGTATGCCATGAAAATTTCATTTAAAAAAACCACTCCTATAAGTAGGCCATGAAAAATTAAGTTTAAAAAATCCACGCCTATAAGTATGCTTTGAAAACAATTTATAATTTTGTATAGGTTTGCAAAAATCGAGTACCTCCTGTATTTTGTGTGTCTAATAGAAAATCGATTTCTATGTGCGTAGTTAAGAGCCAGAATGTAATGTCCAAATATAACATTTGATAGTTCACATTTAAATTTCGATTTAAATGTTGATCGAAAATAAGGTATTCAAATTTAGGAAAAATAATTTTTTTTTATTAAATTCTGGATATTTAATTTTAAGGATTTTTTGAAATAAAAAATTGTTTTCCTTTAACCTTTTTTCATAATCCCAAAAATTTTCTTCTGTTTCTGAAAAAAAAATCAAATAATTCTTCTTACAGAAAAGCTTCGGTAGAACTTGCAAAAATATATTTTTTTAGACTAAAATATTTATTTTATAAAATCAACCTATCAAAGTTAAAATTCCAGCTAATATGGCAGCAGAGGCAAAGCAATGCTAAGTTGCATTTATTTTCAGCCAAGGAGGGAGGCGGACCTAGGTGGGGCCCTAGGTGGGGTACTTTAGATTTGCTTTTAACATTTTCTTAGAGCATTTAGATGAGCGCTTCAAAGCTATAGCTAAACATACCAAAACAAATACACACACAGACACACATTTTCATATATCCTTACACACACACACACACACTCACACACATCCCGACTAAGTACATGAGCATTAAATTAAGCTACTATATTTACGCTCATTAAATCACCTTTAGCATACTTAAGCATACACTGGTGTACTTAAAAATGTAAACACAGACACACTCACACACATCTTTATACCATCTCAATTTATATATTAGTTGTTGGGTGTGTGTGTGTGTTGGGGGGGTATAGCTTGCGTGCATGTTGGTTGCACTTAAGCAAATCAAAGTTTTCTATTCGTTCACTAATAAAGTAACTAACACAAGTTTATATTTCGAACAAACACAAAATATTGCGTAATATTACCCAGCAAACAAAAATTGGAGAAAATTTTGAAAAACTATTTTTTTCGAAAATCTTACGACAAGTCTGATGATAGTCGGAAGTAGTGTACGAAATCTAAAGAAACATTTTTCGATATTTTTTCTTGAATATTTTTCGTCTGTGAAAGAAAGCAAATATTTTTCAGATTATTTTTGGGGTTCAGAATATCATCCGACACGTCTGCAGATAGTCGGAAATGTCCATTATGGAAAATATAGGAAGTTAAAAGAAATATTTTCCGATTTTTTTTGAATATTTTCTGTCTGGGAAAAAACAAATTTTTTTCAGATTATTTCTTGGGTTCAGAATATCATACGACATGTCGGAAAATAGTTGGAAATGCCCATTATGGAAAATATAGTTTCCTCTACGACAATTCTGATAATAGTCGGAAGTGGTGTATGGAAATCAAAAGAAATACTTTTCTGATATTTTTTCTGGTATATCTTCCGCCTGGGAAAAAACATTTTTCCGATTGTTTTTGGGGTTCAGAATATCAGCCGACATGTCTGAAGATAGTCGGAAATGTCCATTATGGAAAATATAGGAAGTTAAAAGAAATATTTTTCCGATTTTTTTTTAATATTTTCAGTCTGGGAAGAAAACAAATTTTTTTCAGATTATTTCTTGGGTTCAGAATATCATCCGACATGTCGGAAAATAGTCGGAAATGTCCATTACGGAAAATATAGTTTCCTCTACGACAATTCTGATAATAGTCGGAAGTGGTGTACGAAATCAAACGAAACATTTTTCGATATTTTTTCTTGAATATCTTTCGTCTGTGAAAAAAGAAAACAAATATTTTTTCTGATTATTTTTTGGGTTCAGAATATCATCCGACATGTCTGCTGATAGTCGGATAAGGCCATTATGGAAAATATAGGAAGTCAAAAGAAATATTTTTTCCGGCATTTTTTCTTGAATATCTTCCGTCTGGGGAAAAACAAATATTTTTCAGATTATTTTTTGGGTTCAGAATATCATACGACATGTCTGAAGATAGTCGGAAATGCCCATTACGGAAAATATAGTTTCCTCTATTTTTTAATATTGTTTAATGAATTTTTAAACCTTCACCCCAAAATGTTCACTGGGTTATGTGCATAGCTATTTGTAGTTATATATATTTTTAGGTATTGGCATGGATTTTATTTTAAAATATACTTAAGGCGTGTTTATGTATTTAATGGATTCGGTACATAAATTTCGGAATGTTGGGGCAAACAATAATTTTATTTAATATCGAAAATTTGCCAAAGGATATACCACAGGAAGAACAGTGGGAAGAACACGTAAGGCGTAGATTTATACCCTACACAACAATGTTGTCAGGGTATTATAGCTTTGTGCAGCCCCAAAAGTTTGTAACGCCGCCAAATATTGGTCCTAGAACCACCTTTAAGTATACCGATCGTCATATCTCGACTAGCTGAGTTGATCCAGACATGTGCGTCCGTCCGTCCGTCTGTCCATTATAATTTGTAAACACGATACAATCGTGAAGATTGGTCCATAACTGACCAATCTTCACGACATTTTGCATGCAGGATGGGTTCTGCCCAATGAAGACCCCTATTGTTTTTGGTAAAGATCGGTTAGTATTTAGGGCATGAAATGGGCCAAATACTCAATTTTTGTCAGTTTTTCTGGTCGCTCCAGAGACCGCAGTTATAGTCCGAACATCGTGAAATTTTACATGGAGAAAGGTGATCGGGCTAAAGAATAAGCACGCTTTGTTTCGATAAAGATCGGTCAATATTTAGCGGGTCAAATGGGCCCTGACTTTTGTGTGAAAAATTACAAAATTTTTATTCTGGGCGTATATACTTGCTCCTGAAGGACATATACCCGAGCAGTAGATAGTATATCCAAGAGGAGTGGTTGACCTTCAAATTGATAGCAATAATATGGCTGTATGTACTCTGATGTGGGATTAGTATTACTATTACTCCATTAGAGGACGGAAATATCGCTCTGATCGCTTTGAAATTGAACATGGAGTTCCGATTATGGTCAAGGACGACGCCTATAGTCGAGATTTCATTCAATGAACAGAAAACTTTAATTTTGTCTGATTTTCAAGTCGATCTAGAGGCAATTATTATATGCAGCTGAAGGGGATCTGACAAAATACTTAGAGCGGCTGTTTAGATGATGATCGGTCAATATTCTGAGGGTCAAATCCACCGAAACCTAAAGTGACCAATTTTTTATTTTATGCCGTAAGAATTCATTTCAAGAAAAAATGCCAGGGTTATGGTCGACCCCGTCCGACTATACTGCTCCGTTCACTGGTTTTAAAATATTTTTTCCAGCTGATTGGTACAAGTTGGCTAGAGGAATGCATGCCCAATGATTTGAACCTCAGCATCCTGTGTCCCGTGCACAAAAAAAGAGACAAGACGATATGTGGCAACTAGAAGT